GGAAGGGAAGGGAAGGGAAGGGAAGGGAAGGGAAGGGAAAATATGCTGAGCTTGATAGTATGTGTCTATAATCCTAGCACTAGAGAAAGAGAGGAAGAGACAGGACCGTCCCTGGAGCTTACAGTCTGTAGAGCTTACAGTCCCTGGAGCTTATGGTCCCTGGAGCTTACTGACCAGCTATTCTAGCCAAATGGGGAGTCCCAGGTCCCACTAACAGTTTGCTTAAAAAAAATAAGCTGGATGGCTCCTGAGGCGGAAAGCATGGATACCTAAGGTTGTCTTTTGGCTCACTGGTCTCCACACACAAGTGTGCACAAATGTGCACCTGCATGCACACACATAAAATTGCTTTAAAAGCTGTTAATAAATGGTATCTTGGGTATGCCCCCAGAAATTCCAATTTAGTAGCTCTGGGCTGCCAGCCAGACATTTATACTGTGAAAGAACTCCACAGGTATTGTTGATGCACAGCCAAGGTTGGGAAGTTCTGCATTTATTTCATAACAAGTATTTCTTCTGCAGCAGGAGTCCGACCATTTTCTCAACACTGTTTAGTTGCACGTTATTTTCCACAAATCGATGACTGAAATATAAATCTCCCAGCAAAACATAAAGTGTAATATCAATGTTCCATGACTGCCAAGAACAATAATAAAGGATATTTCTAACCAGAAAAGGAGATACGCAGATTCATATGCTTATAGTGCAGATATGGCGTCTACAGTGATCCTTCCACTTCCATTCCATTGCCATGACCAGATCTGTAGTGTGACCTTTACATTCACCATCTAATCACAGAAGAGGTTAGACCCACAAGCATGGAGGAGTAATTTTCAGTACTGTTTAATTTTTAGTGTTGTGCTTTGAAATGTGGAAGGAATTTCAGTCTTTTGCTAAATATCCCCCAAGCTTTTAAAAGTATTCTGATTGCAAAATATTATTAGTAGAGGATTCAGAGATAGACTCAAAATAGAAAGGCAGCCATTACCACTGGGATCTCAATATTCAGAAAAGGGTGAAATTGGTACTACACTGAATCTGCCATGAACACTGCATAGGGAGATGATAGATTGAAAAACCATAATCGAGCTCTGTCCTTAAGACCTCTGGCCAATTTAAATCCAGAGCTATACCAGACCCTAGCCCTGTTGCCTCTGCGAAAATAAAAGGTGTACCATATGGCATATAGGCAATTATGCCAGGATGGAAGAACTCAAGGGGAAAAAAAATATAGTCTTTTAGTCTTTTCCAGGAATGAATTGTTTCCCATCACATTACCTGCTGTAGAAGTTTGTGCATTTTGAAGGTCCTGCTTAGCTGTATCCGTTTTGCTCTGATCTCATTAACCAAAATATCCGAAAGATAACGTAGCTCATTGCACCTCTGGCAGATTAAATCAAGAGCATAATGGTGATTTGACGCAAGCTTGTGGCCATGTAGAATCACAAATCGGGCCTTTGATAATAGTTCCTGATTTTAAGGAAGAGAGAAAACCATGATTGCAGGATCTCCGGTCATACAGAGACAAAGAAGAAAAAGAAGAAAATCATTAAGTAGCAAATTGTTTGGGCAGGACACATATGTGGCCACAAAATATGATTTAATATCAAGTTTCTGCAGTCTACAGTTTACAAAACAAAATACAAAAAATCCTACCAGTCATAATGATTAGCTAAACCAGTGATGTCCATCAAAGCTCAGACATTTCTGGTCACACGGTGAAAATTAACTAGCCCATTTCACTCAGAATATGTTCGGACTTCTGACATGCAGACTTAAAACAGAGCCACATACATCACCTGAGGGAAACCAAACTCCACACAAGTGAAAACTAATGTATTTCACATCAGCCCACTCTTGGAAATCTAAATTACAGCTGCCCTTCACCCGAATGCTTTTGACATACCTAAAGTGAACTTCAGAAAGGACTCTACTGGTCTTGCCTCCATTCTGTCAACTACTGACTCCCCCACACAGTGAATGTAACATAGAAACTCAGACAATGCTGATCAAAACAAAATAGAGACCAGATGAGGAAGTGACCAGCTTATCAAGTTCGTGATTATCTAGCCACAATTAAAAGGAGGTTGCTGTTTAATGGGATAGACATTCAGTTCCACATATGAAAACATCCTAGAGACCCACAGTACAGCAACATGTACACACTGAATATGATTGCCCTAGTTAGTTGTAATTGGCAACTTGACAAAGTCTAGAGTCATCTCAGAGGAAAGCCTTGACTGGAGAACTGCCTAGATCAGACTGGCCAGTGGGCATGTCTGTGGGGGATTATCTTGATTATTAATTGATGCAGGAGGGCCCAACCCACTGTTGGCAGTGCCATCCCTAGGCAGGTGGTCCTGGGCTTTATAACATAGCTAGCTCAGGATGAGCCTGTGAGTGAGCCAGCAAGCAGCATCACTCCATATTTCTGCTTCAGGTCCCTTCCTTGGATTACTGCCCTTGACATCTCTCAATGATGGACTGTGACCTGTAAGTGTAAGACAAATAAACATTTTCCCCCAAGTTGTTTTGGACAAGAATGCTTCATCAATCAACACAAAGGAAAAGAAAAATCAACTACTGAACTGAATGCTTAAAAATGGCAAATTCATGTCAGACATTATATCACAATGAGAAAAACAGTATTAAAAACAAGCAAAGCCTCCTGCTTTCCAAGACTGTCTGCTTTCTCTTTCTACCATGTCCCATATATGTAAACTGCAGCAGAATCACAGAGGTCTACAAGCTTAATGCCTTAACTGGTTACTGCAATTATGGCCCTCCATTTTTCTTTTCATGTGCTTGTGGTTCACTAATGAATCAGTTTCGTTCTTTCTTTTTTTTTTTTTGGTCTTTTGGAAACAAGGTCTCCTTGTTGCCCCAGCTATCCTGGAGCTCTGTGTAGACTAGGCTGGCCGTGAAGTCACAGAGATCCACCTGCCTCGGCCTCCTGAGTCCTGGGATTAAAGGTGTAATCCACCACACCCAGTTTATGGGTCTGTTTTCTAAGGACGGTTTTGGTAAAGCATTTCTTTGCCCTCACACACAAGACAGGAGAGTAAAGTCAGAGTCTCTTGCCTTTAATGCCATGAATCCAAGCTTTAGGGCTGGCAGAATCAATGAGAGCTGCTTCCTTTGAGCACTTACTATCCATCACAGAAACTATGTTATGTGCTTCCTATACATTCAAATAAATCATCTCCATCATTCTATAAAGTAGGACATTTAAAGCCCCAGTTATAGAAAAAGACTTTGACGCTTAAAAGTAAATTCAGCCAAAATCCCACAGCTAGTCAGACCAAATAGAGCTGTGTGTGTAGATCTATGTCTGGTTCAACTGCGTATATCATACAATGGGCATTTGAGGATTTATATTCTTTTTTAAAAATGTTTTATTTATTATTTTTATTTTTATGTGTATGAGTGTATTGCCTGCATGTAGGTAAGTGCACCCATGTCATGCAATGCCCATGGAGGACAGAAGAGGTCATCGAATCCCCTGGATCTGAAGTTACAGACAGGTGTTAGCTGTCATGTGGGTGCTGGGATTTGAACCCGGGTCTTCTGCAAGAACAGCCAGTGTTCTTAACTGCTGAGCCATCTCTCCAGCCCCCTGTGGATTTATATTCTTACATGACTATATCATATCTAGGTAACAAATGCCTTTCTTTTGCTTTTTTGAGACAGAGTCTCATGTTGAGCAGGGTGATGTAAAATTCATTGTGTATCTGAGGTGGCCTTGAACTCCTGATTCTAATGCCTCTTCTTCCCAAGTGCTAGAAGTACAGGTGCGTACCACCACTCCCAGCTCATATAACAGTCTTGATAGATATTTTTTCTAACTTTTCCAAAATGATTTATGTTCTTGCCCCTATAGGTGAGCTTTAAACACTTCATACAACTGCCATAATTTTATACAACTCCATGACACACCTACAGTGTCACCTTGGGGCTACACTTAATAAAACAGACTTTAGGCAAGTATCATTGTGTGTATATAGCTACAGCAGATTAAGTACAATAAGGGTTGTGCTACCCAGGCTCACAGAAACATAAACATACCAAACACTACATATTAAAATGTGAAACATAAACATACCAAACACTACATATTAAAATGTAATCTTACCTGAGATTTCTCATCTAAGATGTCTATTTTTTTAATTTTTTGTTTTATTTGAGCTAAGTTCCCTGTTATATCACCCAGCTCTGCTTGCTGATTTAACAGAAATTCAACTTGAGTCACAAGCTAAAAGGAAAAAAACAAAAGTTTGAAAAACATACAAATTATTAAGCATTTACATTTAGTAACGATCAAGGTTTTTTTAAGTATTTTATTTTATTTATTTATTTATTTTTATTGATCTTTTTGAAACAGGGTCTCCCTGTAGCCACAGCTGCCCTGGATTCGCTATGGAGATCAGGCTGGCCTCAAACTCACACAGATCTACCTGCCTCTGCCTCCTGAGTGCTGGGATTAAAGGCGTGTGCCACCATGCCTGGCAATAATGATCAAGTTTTTTTAAGAAATGGTATTAAATAAGAATGATTATCAACATGGAAAAATGACACATAGAAAGTATGTTCAGCTATTTGATTCACAGAAATAGAAATAATCTGCTAAAGTATAGCCTCTTAGATATCTATGCACATTTATGAGTTATATAAAATCACTGTGTACAAGTGTAATAATACATATGCATAAATGTGTACACATACATACCTACAGGTATATATCGGCATAGCTATCCCCCAGGTATGTGATAACTGGTCTTGGAAACAAAGAAACTACAGTAGCAGGGAACACACCTTGCACTCACATCTTCATCTTTTAACACCACCCCCAACCCCACAAAAGAAACCAACCTTCCTTAGGAAAATGTCTTCTTCCAAGGCTAAGACAGAACACATATAAAATGAGTTTAGATTACCTCTTCACGCCAGAAAGTATGTTTTTAATGCTGACACATATCAAAAGGGTAGAGCAACCAGTCTGAAACACCAAAGTAGTTTAATAATAGCAATGGGAGAAGGACGGTGCCTGGAGAGATGGTTCAGAATTTAAAAGCAGATACTGCTCTGGCAAAGGACTGGAGTTTGGGGCTGCTGCTCATAACTTCATCTCCAGGAGATCTGACACTGCTGGCTTCTGCAGGCACCTGCACTCATGTACACACACATACACACACACACACACACACACACGTATGCACTCACACACACACTTACACATTATACAAATACAATTTAATAATAATGATATTTAAAAGGTTAAAAAATAGGAATGAAGGCTGGGGAGATAAAACTCCAGAACCCAGGCTTAAAAAAATGCATGGCGTGGTGGTGTGCTAGTAATTCCAGTACAGAGAAGGGAGAGGCAGACGGATCCCTGAGACATGCTGACCAGCCAGTCAAAACAAGGTGGACTGTTCTTAAGGAATGACATTCCAGATTGACCTCTGACCTCCACAAACTTATGCATCCACATAAACCACAGAGAGAGAGAGAGAGAGAGAGAGAGAGAGAGAGAGAGAGAATAGCAACCAATAATAAGCCAAGAAAAATAAACTAGAAATCTAAGAATCAAGGATTCCTAGAAGGAATTCCTAGAAGGAAGCTCTTGCTTCATCACAGTTCCTATTGTGGACAAGTAAAAATTGAAAGATTATCTCATGCAGATCACTGTCAGTGGTTAATCAGAATCTACATCAGTAATGGGGGACAAGTGTGCATCCTCACCTCCAGATGTGATACCATGAAAAGGTCACATCACTTCTGTAATATTCCACTTGAATATATAGAGACCATCCAATCATGAAAACATGAACAAACACAAAATGAAGAAATTGTGCCTTAAAAGGGACTGTATTCCTCAAAATATTACTGCTGCAAATACGGGGGTTGGGGGGAGCTGTGAAATGTTCTAAATTGAAAGACGCTAAACAGACATAACAACTTAATGTATTAGTAGACCCCAAACTAGGCCTTATATTGAAGTAAAATAGAAAAGATATAAAGTACATTACCAGGAATGCTGTGTAGTAGCACACACCTGCAATCCCAGCACTCATCAGACTGACGTAAGAGGATCACAAGTTTAAGGATAGCCTGAGCTACATAATAAGATAAGATATCATTTCAAAAAAAAAAGGCAAAAAAAACTAGGCATTGTGGCACACTTCTTTAATCTTAGCACTTCGGGGGCAGACACAGGCATATCTCTGTGATATACATAGCAAGTTCCAGGCCAGCTGAGGTTACAGAGAGACCTTGTCTCAAAGAAAAAAAAATGGACAAAAATAAAAAATAAAAAGAGCTGACAAAATGGTTCAGTAGGTAAAGATGTTTGCTGCCAAACCAGATGACCTCAGTTCAATCCCTAGAACACACATGGTAGAAAGGAAATCCTTCAAGTTACCCTCTGCTCTCCATTCACACACCACGGCAGGTGCAGGCTCATGTATTCATACACACACACACACACACACACACACACACACACACACACACACACACCAAATCAATGTAAATAAAAGTTTTAGTTTTAAAAAGGGCACTATTAGGTCACCTCACAGAATAATGGTGCCAGGTAATATAAAGGTATTGCAGTGTTGCTGAATGTGATGATTTTGATAGCTGAACTATAATCATATAAGAGAACGCTCTTAATCTAAGAAAAACTCATTTAGGAGAAAGTAGCCATAAGATATCAAACTACCTCTCAAACAGGTCAGAAAATGATTATTTGCCAGGAAAAAAATATTATTTGTCTATTTTTTTCATTTTTTAATTCATTGAATGAATATTGTTCTAGTTTGCTTTCTGTTGCTGTGATAAAACATTCTGAACAAAGCAACTTGGGGATAAAAGGGTTTATTTGGCTTATACTTCCAGGGAAGTCAGGGCTGAAACTCAAGGCAGGAACCTGGAAGCAGGATCTATGGATACTGTTTTTGCTGTTTACTCTCTGGCTCATTCTTAGCTAACTTTCTTATATACCCCAGGACCATCTGCCTAGGGATGGTGCCACCCACAGTGGGCTAGGCTCACTTACATAATAAAGACAGTATCCCACTGACATGCCCACAGGTCAATGTGTCTGGGAAATTCCTCAATTAAGATTTTCCTTTCAGATGACTCTAGACTAAGTCAAGAGGATCAAGGATAACCAGGACACAAGTGTTTTATCTATGTCAAGTGTCCTAATGATTCCGAAGACTTCTCACTGCAAACATTCCTATTTCTTTTAGGTAATTTTAAAAAGCTTAAGTTACTTCACAATTGATTGTGAATAGTTTTAGGCTCAGAAGCAGCAGAAATTTTTACTAATTTATAGCAGCAATACATGAGACCATCCACTATCCCATATCTTACTTTTTAATATATTTTTTATTGAATTTTTGTGTATTTCATGTGCAACATCTTAGTCCTCTTTATACCCCCATTCCCATCGGCACCCTTCCATAGCCCCCACCCCCAGTGGATTTCATGCATTCTGTCATTTATGTCAAGGCCTATGGAGTCAAGTTAGTGTTCCTTGACGTCCCTCAGTGAAAGTTCACCCACTGGAGTCTAGTAAGTCTATCTAGAGTCACTTCCTTAAATAAGATCAGCTTTTTTTCAACCAGCAGTGATCAGCTGCCCTATTGGCTACAACTGAGGCCTACTGCCCATTTCCACAGTTCTGTGCTATGTTTAAAAATCATATGTTCAGCATAGGTATGTGGTATCTAAAATCCAATGAGTATTGTTTCCTTGAAAAACTATATGGTAGCCTGAAAGTACTTTGTATGGAAAATAACTATTTTTTCAAATCTAATTTTGATTTTTATTACATTTCAAATATATAGAAACCATATGGATTAACAATACACATTTTCTGGAAGTCTAAGTATATAAGTCAAGATATGAGTTGCTAATATGTTCTAATATCTGCATCAAGCCTCTGAAAGAACAAAATTATCATTAAAATGTCAACTTCTTTCCCTGCCACCAACCTTCTCCTCTGTTTTCTTCTTCAGGTATGGAAAATAATTTTGAAGGACAAGCTTGAAGGTGAAAAAATCCTCTGACCCTGTTATTCTCAATGATGTGCCCATACTCCTCAAAGGAAAGGAATACGTGGAAGAAGAGGAGGCCTGAAATATTAGCAGAACTTTCCTCTGTTTCAAGTCAAGCTGCACTTGCCTCCTTTCTGATCTCTGAGGTGAAAAAGGTATCTTGCAAGACTGCATTTCTGATGCTCGAGGATAAGAACCTCTAACACAATGAAAGTAATGCTTTAACTGACCTCTTGAAAATCTTGCTCAAATCTCCACAGTTGCAAATACTGCTCCATTTTTAATTGGTGTTTTTCCCAAAATCCATCAAAAGCAGTTTCCATATCATGCACTTGTGCCAGCAACCTTAAAAAGAAAAGTCAAAGAATTCCTTAAAATAACCACCTCTGTGTGTGTGTGTGTGTGTGTGTGTGCGTGCGTGTGTGTGTGTGCGTGTGTGCGTGTGTGTGTATGGGGGGGAGATATGGAGCTAACCCTGTTCTGTTCATTAAGAACTCCAATCAAAGGGGTGGGGGGGGTGGCGGGGGAGTTAAGAGCGTGT